AATATGGGTTTACAGTAAACTAACATCAGTGCTGAAAGTTTCTTTTAGAATTTAAGAAGGAAATGATTCTCTCAAGCAGTTTAGTTCAGACACCTTAAGCTTCTCCTAAAATGAAAGACTTCTGCCATTACGATGCTAGTTTCTTTGTTTAAGTCTATACAAATTCTAATGAAGCTGGGAGATCCATGTGAAAGCACAGCAACAGAAACTGATCACATTTTCTTCATAGAAAATATCCAGCCAGAAAACATCATGATGTTCTGGGAACTCACTGATTTGTTTTGAATTTGGCAGAAAGTTATCAAAGTGCTTAGTTTGAAAATGACTTTTCCAGCATTCCGCTGTAGCATAAGCCACTGAAATTATTATATAATTAAGCGCTAGCCTGTTTCTTACATACCAAAGTGACCCTGTTTCCAAGATGAATTGGAAATATTGATAAAAATCAGTATTTAAAAAGTTCAAACATTACTTTTTCCAATGCCTTATATGTATTCATTTACTAGTTTCTAGAAAGCAAATACTGAAGAGATTACACTTTCAAATAATACTGTGATTTGAAAATACTTATTTCATTGTCATATTATTAAAAGGCAAGAAAGATATGTGTATTTTACTATCATATTATGATAAAGTACATGTAAACGTGACATAAAAAGAAACAACCAGAAACTTTAAAATAAAAAAAAGTCACTGAATAGTGCTTAAACAAAGAAGCAAAATCATAGAATAGTTTGGGTTGGAAGGGACCTTTAAAGGTCATCTAGTCCAACACCCACCAGTCATAAGGCTCTTAATAACAGGGGAAAATGGAAAGCCCAGGCATGTCTGAGTCACACAGATTTTCAAAGAAACTCTACCCCAATGAACGGAGCTGCTGAACTGCATACTTACAAGACTGCCGAACTGCACAGAAATTATAATACCTACTTGACTGAGGACTTTGCCAAACTGAGAAGACACTAGATTACACTACAACTATTGCAACTGTGGGCCAGTCTTTCTTCTGAGATGCTGTGATCAGCATGAGCCTACTCAAAGTGAAATTTAGATTTTATATCTAGAATTGCTAGCAGAGCTTTAAAATGATATTTTTTTTCCTGTTACTAATATTTTACCAATACCATTAACCAACAAGCTAATATTTTTTAAGGGATGAATATTCTAAATCATTAATCCATCAGCATTCTTTCAGCAGCCTCAAAACATTCAGAAAAACCCAGAAATTTATATCCACTAAAATACTGCAAAATGCTATGTATCATTAATGACAAGGTGAAGAAAAACAAGTTGTTTTGTGAGGAGCAAAAGTAATGAAGCCTGATTTCCCACACACACCTCCACAATACCTTCAGCGCTCTCTCATTTTCCCTACACACCACATGCTCTGTACTCTCGGTTCTCCTCCTCTCCCCAAACTTCCCTTCCCTTTCCATGAGTTGTTGGTTGAACAAGAGGCAGCATTTGTTTTGGATACTCTGGAGTTAAACTTGTGCTCATCAACTGGCTGGATGCTATCCTTTGGATGCCAGAGGAGACCAGACAGTGCTTTGACTCTCACACACTGGCACGTCGAGCAAATGGCTTTAACAGCTCCGTCCAGCCTCCAAGTAGGTCTGTTATAAGCACTCCGCACTTCTGAGACCTCTGCAAGACTGATTGAAATTGGCCATTGTATTGAATTAACTGAGAAGCACAACTAACAGATGGAAAGTGGGATTGCATAAATCTCGTTTTAGGAATTCAACATTAAAAATCAGAGCTGTTATACAAAGACTGTCCATACGCTTTAATATTCAGCAGCTTGTTTTAATATAAGATGATAGCATGAGCAGCAATCTAAACATTTAGTCTTTCAGTCAGTATGGACAATTTTCAAACTATCTATTTCACAGAACATTGGTTGCTGTCATTAAACTGTTACAAGTATGATACAAACCACAGACATTCATGCAGTGTACATGCAGCACCAGTGGCACATAAAAATTTGCAAAGAAATACTGTACTCATAACAAAGAACTTCAGGGATCAGTAATTAAAAGATTGCAAAAAGTCTTAAGTGCTTATATAATTAGAAAACCTACTTTCAAAGTTACAAGACCTTCTGTGTTTTGGCTCATAACTCAAAAAAAAAGAAAAAAAAAAAGCAGCCCAGTGGTTTCATAGCCTACAAAATGGATATGTGAATGCAATGGAAGTTTCAAGTCACTTTACCTTCCCTCCATTTACACCCTTTTTATGCTGTATTTCCACACTATCCATCCTGGGAAACAAATAGCAGAATTAGCCCTTTCGAGTTTATGAATACATAAACTCATTCACTGCAAGTTGAAAGCTAAATAAAAAATAGCAGCAGTAATTATATATTCCACTGATGTTAAAAACATAAATTCAGGAAAATATGGGTAAATTGGCAAAAGGCAGGATGTCACCTCTTTGCATAGTGGGTGAGGTAAGGACAAAATGACAGCCTTAGGAAACTGTAAGGAATTACTGTGCCTGATGTGCTTACCCTTTCTGGCAGTTACTGAATTTTCCATATTGAAGAATTTCTATGTCACAAGGACTGTGTTGGTGGTGAAAACATGTCAGTGGTTATGCAATAAGTATTATTTTGTTTCATCCTACTGTAACATTTTAATTGACTTGAATACTTCAAGGGTCAACTTGTTACAAGGGACATCCTGAAATTTGGGAATTCAGAAAAAAGTACCCATCAAATCATTATCTGAATTTCTGTTCAGTTATGCAATTTGTATTCACTTTTTATACAACATCTGTCATTAAAAGACTATCATGAATAGTCAATTTACTTCATTATAAATGTCAGGAAGTATGAAAAAGAAAGTTCTCAAGCTATATCTCTTTTTAAATCTTCCCAATCTTCCCATTACTTTCAGCCATTTAAACAATTCCTTTTTCAATTAGATAATGTTTTAGGACTAGTACTGCTAAAAACGAGTGAATCTGAAAGCACAGCTTCCTGTAAAATGTTTCTGAAAAAGAAGTGACTACAGCCAACATTCACATTAAAAAAGATAAGTGGTCTTCTCCCCCTCATGACACATCTAGAAACTAGGATAGAAACTGAGGAAACACGAAAAGAATGGTTATCAACCATCACTTTGAGAGAAGGGTTCACCAAATGTTCAGAAATCCACATAATATACACAGTTGAATCCCTTCAACCAAATTTCATTCCTTCCTGCCTGTGTTCCACTTCCCCTATCCTGCTTTGTGCTGCCTCTCAGTTCACACGGGCTGTACATCCACAGCACCACCCTCCATGATCCCCTTACTGGGTCAAACACTAACTTCTTCCTCCATCCACTGGGACCTCTATAACTGCGCCAAATAGAGCTTGGGCTTCTTCATGTGCAATATGAGAAAACAACTTTGTTTTGTACTATAGCCCGGATAAATCAAACTTACCTTCCCTTTGATGAAATTATTTGATAACCAGGAGATAAAAAGATTAAATGTTGCATGGGAACATGGACATTATTTGTGCTAATTTCTAACATCGGGTAACTTCTCTTTAGGAAAACAATATTTTCCAAAGGATTTTTTTTTTTTTTGCTTAATTTTATACCCCTTTCCCACAGAAAAAGTTATTCTCCATTTTTTCCCCATTTATAATTGTATCTGGATTGTCAAAGAACCCCAAAACACATTAATTCATCAGAAGTCTTAAGAACTGTTTGGAAAATATATATATTAAAACTTAAAGACTTAAGCTTCTAACTATATTAATTGCATAAGAAAAGGCTAAACACAGCTATAACTCCAGTTGGACTTGATGACCTTAACAGTCTTTTCCAACCGAAATGATTTTGTGATTTTACTAGTAGCTGATTTCTGCTGTTCTGAACATCCATTCTGAAAACAAGTGCAGTGGAGTTGTACGTGGTAGTTGCATGCCTTCCTACTTCATGGCACACTTCCTGTAAGACCCGTTGTTGCATCATTTCCCCCACAAACATATGAGCATGTTCTAATTTGAGTAAAGAATAGTTGTCTGTAAGAGGAGTACAGAATGGATGCTAGCAATAACTACTCAGTTTCCTATGTGGAGATCCCTAACTAATCCAGGAATATAAATGATCCAAATCTGATTTCGTTCTAGAAGAAAGCTGTGGAGCAGCCCTTACACAAGACATTGTCACTGGGTTTTCTCAGAATAACTCTGGAAAGCTGCTCTTCATGACTATGGTACACTTCTTTCACTGCAGCTATATGCAAATCTCTCATAAAATTTATAGAAAGTAGCAAGTTTAAACCAAACATTTGGCTAAAGTTTATGCCCATGTTACTTTTATTGTTTTAATCTCCATACTTTGTTTTCTACAATGTAAAAAAAAAAAAAAAAGAAAACAAAGCACATTCAGTATTTGTCATCTATTTATATTTTATTTCACAAGCACAGCTGTAGTGGGATATCTGCTACTGTAAATCCCCAGCCCCAGGATACACATAGCTGGTCAAAGGCTGCCAAACCAAAACTCATGAGTATGTTACAACCTAACCCAAACCAAAAATAATACAGAGTGTAACATTTGTATCTGTAGAGAATGTACCAATGTACTTCAAACTACTGCCAGCAGAGAGTCCCATTGTCTCGTATTGAGGAGAAAACAATTTAGCACAATCCCCCAAAACACGGAACAAACAGCAAGCTACTTTGTTTTTAACTATTTTAATAGGGTTGTAAGACAGAAACGCCCTCAGCAACAGCCACCTGTGAGTGCTTTCCCTTGTTTTTGCAGTTTTTCAACATGACAGCAAGTTAATACATTTTTAAAAAGGAAGATCAAAAGTATAATTTAGACTCCCAGAAAAAGGCTGGCACATTTTTCAACAACATTTGAGTTTGGCTAGATGAGAGCAAAGTGAAACAGTTTAACTGTAATTAAGTTAACTCGCAAGCCAGCCTGTACATTGCATTGGAAAATTAAAGGGCTCCCGAGCATCTGGCCCGCACTCCTTCAACGTATGCTTACCCCAGGAGTAATGTGCTTAGTTTGAGGAGACATCAGGCATCTGTCAAGCATGTCAGCCTTGCACCAAGCGGGCCAGCCCTTCCAGCAGCAGCAGTCCTTCTTACAGGAGCAAAACCTCCGACACGAAGCGGTGCACCAGTGAAAACTTCAGCAAATCACCCTGCATTAACCATTATTTGAGTTCCTTGTCCATCTAAGGCCTGGTTTAAAGTGTCCAGCTTTTGTCTATATGGAGTGACACTGTTTGCTGGCGATTCCTCTCAGCTGTTGATCTAATTCAGTCCCTATGTTAGGATACAGCTAAGCAGAGAACCCGTCACCATCAATTACCAAGGAGGAGTGGGAGGGCTCCGTGCTCCCGGTGACGTCAGCCATTTTAGGAACGAAGCCTGCACACTTGCTGGAGTAACATAACATTTTATTAATCTCATATGCATGCCTTGCAGCATGCATGGCCTCCTGTTTATATACAACAACTGGCTGTACAGCCAGAAACAAATCATGGAGAAGTATCTAAACGTGAACACTGGATAATCAGACTTGTTGACGTTTGGGGATATGGATCTTTTTTTGTTTGATTTTTTATTTTTTTTTTCCTCCTCCTCAACAGAGATATTAGGCACTGGTATTTCAAATTGGAAATCTCAATTCAAGTTGGAAAACTCCTCTGTAAAAGAAAAATTAAGCTTAACCATAATTAAGGTAGAAGATACATTCAAATGAACCTTAATCATGGTTCTTTGTAAAAACTACAATCCTAAAAAAATCCTCACTAGACCCATCAGCATGGCAGTACTTCTATGCATTAGCCAGTGCACTGAAATCATCAGGGAAACTCACATGCATAATATTACAGGCTCTAATGAGCTTAAGAGTTTGCAAGTTAGGGTCAACTGGCTTAAAATAAGAGTATAGGTTAAATATAAATAAGAAGAATTAAGGATACATATCTTTATTGGTCAGAGGCTTCTGGAGGCTTAGTAAGGAGGAGTAAGGAGCAAGCAGTAACAAACAGGGAATGGTATGAACAGAGAAATAGTTGCAGAGAAGCAGCTTTCTGCTCCTGCTACCACTGAGATAATAAATGTCGAGGCGGTGACTTCTGAGAGTAGCAACAAGCATATTGGTTTTGGCTCCAGCTGCTCAGTGAGCTAGGCAATCTTCTCTGCTTATGCCTCGAGACTGCGAGACCAGTCTTTAATAGGCATGATAGGCAAACAAAACCCCGTAAAGTCAAAACTCTGGTCCATGAGAGCTGAAAACATTGCCTATTTCCAAAAGCCAAACTCTTAACACTAACTTTGTAAGTAGCCTCTGTAAAGTTGGTAGTAGGGAAGGGCATACACCACCTATATGTCTCACAGTAAGAATCAAAACAGATTTTTTTTTTCTTTTTTAATAAATATTTCAGGCTGGATTCCATTTATATTTACTGGTTTCTACACATATTTTCACACAGGCACTTTGAAGGTGTACCAAGATCAATATAAAGTTATCCTCTTCCCTCTCCCTCATCACTTAAAATGTGATTTCTTATTTATATTAGCTGCATAACATATTGTTAACAATTCTAACTCAGTTAAACTAGAGGTGATTTTTGGTTGATACACCATCAGGTGTTTGGTGGTTTTTTTGTTTGTTTGGGTTTTTTTTTGTTGGGTGTTTTTTTTTTTTTTTGCAAGGGGAGTCTGGGAATGAAGGATTGTTAAAATTTAAAATTTTATGACTCTTTCAGAAAACAGTAGTCGGGTTCAGTTCAGATGCCAAAACAGAATTAAGTAAGTAGAAGCCCTGTATAAGGGTTTATTTTTTGTTGTTGTTTTTTTTTGTTGTTGTTGGTTTTTTTTTTTTTTTTTTTATGATAGCTAAATATTCATTTCTCATTAAATAGATATTTCTATTTACCTGAAATAGATTCAACAAAGAAAAATTCACAGAACATTGAAGACCTCTTGTATAATTTACTTTGACTTCCATAAGGCACTTCTAGGATGCATTATTAAACTGGAAATTAAACTGAAACAACTACTGTGCAGAGGAAGCTTACAGTAAACTTCACCAAACACAGTTTTAGAAGGCTGTGAGAAGTAGAGCAATCTGATGCAATACTGTGTTAATAAAGTTGAAGGGTTTTTTACAGTACAATTACTGAGATAGCTTTTTGGCAAATTTATCATCCTTAAAAAGTTTAACACATGATGTGGGACACAAATACCTTGGGGCAAATCAGAAATACTCTGAAGAATACATAATCACAGCCCCAGCTGGAATATCACAATTAGGACAGGGCAGCTCTGAATCCAGAAGCTTATTTTCTGCCCTTCAGGAGATTTTACAGAATACTGTAACTAAATGTGCAAGACCAGGCTGTCATCATGGCAAAATTTGGCATCAAAATATTAAAACAAAAGAACTTTGTACTAGAAAACACAGTAAAAAGAATATTTAAACTGCAGAAACAGCAATAGAGAAATTCCGTGGTACCAATCATAAAGTTTCAAAAGCTCCCTAAATCTTCTAACCATAGAACAGAAACCACTTCTTTTTCCTTTCTTTTTTTTTTTTTTTTTTTTTTTTTTAAAAACTTCTGAGTAGCATTCACAAAACCAGTGCACAGTGAATGCTAGGTGACTTCTGCCCTTTTTTGCCCAAGAGGGTGAATCATTACCTAACAAGTACCAGATCTGTTAAAAGCTGCATGCTGTGTGTATCTTGACAAATTAAGGTTCCTTAGAAGAAAAGTAAGTGACCTTCAGCCACTTACAGAAAAATATATGGTCTTTGATAAGAGAACAGGAACACAATTCATCCAATGATTACTATTTTCATTCACTCTTTATTCCTGTATAGCACTAATGCAGAAGGAGTTTTAACATTAAATCTTAATACTCTATATTTACAGTGTTTTCACCAGAAGTCTCCATTAATTTTAAACAAAACCTTATGAAATTTTACTCTATTTGGACTATAAATGCCATTAAGCACATGAGAAGACAGAAGCACTGATTGAGTAAATACTCTGTAATATACTGATAGAATCTTGTTTATGAATTTTTTTTGTTTGTTTTTTAAGTTTTGTTTAACAGAGCAAGGTGTCTGGACTCTGCCTCTTTCCATCTTTCCCAAGTTGAAAATGGATGTCTGTCTAAAAAAAGTTCTTGACAAATCAGATCAGAAATGAGTTGTTAGAGATCACAACAGTCAATAACTCAGAAGTAATAAAAGCTTAGACATATGAGTAATTTTTCTCATCACCAAGTTATTGTGCATCAGCTGATCCATATGTGGATATGTAGGCATGCTTAACATATGGCAAAGAAATTAAGGCAATTTATTGTAATTCTACCTCATTATGGATTATGTTATCTGGCATTTGCTGATGGATAAATTAATGAACAGGTAATGCATGGCAACTTTTAAATCCATGTGTCTAAATCTTATATACATATATATATATGTACACACAGAAGAATTCTTCTGTTTCTACTTCCCTTCTCATTTTAAAAGGAGATAATGCATATGTTCTTCTTCAGTTATCCAAGGTACCACATTTGCTTTTATTCAGTCATCAAATACCTCATCAGTCTTACACAGTTTCTCAAAAGACAATTTAATGATTCTGAGATTCCTCAGCCAGCTCTTTAGGTATGCAAGTGTCCCATACAATGACTTCAGGTTGAGTTAAATATGATCCAAGCTGTGACATTTCCATATTTGAAGGGGAATACTTAACCATTTGCCATTTGTAGAAGTTACATATGTTATCAGTGCTTCTCACTTGGTAAGAGTCAACTTTAGAAGAGTTTCCTTTCCCCTTTTGGAGGACCCAAAGTCTTCCAAAAGGCATCAAGGTATTAAAATCTCTCATTTATTTAACATAACAAGACAGTAGAACACTTTGCCTACACAAAGTTGATATAAATGAATTTTGACATCTACAAAATTTTTGTTGAGAAGACATGATAAATTAGTCAAAGCTGAGACAGAGCCAATGATTCAGTAGCAAACAGACCCAAACTCAGATTTCCTAAATTGCTGTAACAGCCTTTCCACAAAAAACATTCAAATCCACTCAAGTCCTGCCAGCAGGAGACCACTCAGTTCCCTAGCTCACATTCATGACGGTTTCTCAGGTCCGTCATTCCCTCTCAGATCTTTACCAAAGCGCCAGTCTGCTTGGTGTTTTGCACACTGAATACGGCCACTCATACAGCAGAGTCCTAGGTGAGATGCTGAGAGAATGGTTGGTTGATATTTCTAGCAAAAGACAATAACCCAGCCTCTCACCCAGCATGGTGGGATCTGAAATGCAGAATAGCCGACTGCTTCCCAAGTACCCTCTGCCCAGTTTGAATAAAGGACACCAACAGGGTCTCCTACCTCCAAGGAAAAGTTTCTTCACTACCAGATATAAAGTCAATTTGTTGTTTTTCTCTCTGTGACCAATAAAAAGTCAACTATTTTCTGTAAGTGGGAGAGGGCTCAATATGAAACATTTGTCACAGAATAAAGGAGAGAATTCTGTAACACCTAAATATTGCAAAAATAGGTTTGAGGGTTTGAAACAGATGAGTACTCAAACCGGCAGGGTTACTGGTTATAACACACAGGGAAGATTTATTTATTTTTTAGTAAGGGAAAGCTGAGTTGGTTTGATACCCAGTGGAAGAAAAAGGTTCACAGCTATTTTTTACAGTTAAAATGAACTATAAGGTTGCCAGGCTTACTAAAAACTGCACCTTCATATTCTTAATTTTTGACCAGCTAACCTGAAGATTCTGTCTTGCAAACTGCTGCTCCTCAGAGCAACAGTTGCATCTAAGAGCAAACTGCTGAATCTTCATGGATGCTGATCTTCCTGACTTCAAGTACACACTGCTTTGCCAAAAATGAATTTCATGGAAAATGTGGAATTTCACCAGTCTAAATTCACTCCCACTTTTCCATGATATTTCCTCACTGCAAGTTTCACAAAGCAGAATCAGTGTGCAATGGTACTTCAAGGTTAAGTGTTGGTTAGGAAAGCAGGATTCACAGAGCACCTACAGATCATTTTTAATTTCTGCAAAGAAGAAACTTCAGCACTAGATGAAAATTTAAGTTCCCTGATGGTCTGAAAGATGTGTTAGGAACTTTACAGGAATCTGAGTGCAGCATATAGAATATAAACATCACATAAAAATGCTAAACTAACAATTTAAATAAGTCAGCAGCAGAGCAAATTAGGTCTGAGAGCAGAGCTTTAGGTCCCCTCTGCTCCTGCCCCACTCCCCCTCCCGATGGCTCCAGCAAGGCCTTCCCTCCCCGCTGCTGCTCCCAGCACTTGTCAGACCCCTCCAGAAGGAGAGTGATACCTAACCTGGTAGGAAACTATTTGTTTATTTTTTTCCACTGTTGCTTTTTTTGTTTGGTTGGTTTTTGTTTGTTTGTTTTTTGGTTGGTTGGTTGGTTTTGGTTTTGTTGTTTTTTTTTTTTTTTTTTTTTTCTGTCAGGTCAGTAAAATGAAATAGCTAAAGGGAACAAAAGCAGATGAAAGGACACTGGTAGTGGTGGGGCAACAAGCCTCCACCACCCAAACGTCACTGTGAAACATTAGGAGATAACCCACCAAGGTCCAAACTCCTTTTATGAATTTAATTTATATTTTGTAATGCATAGCAATAGCTATGAAATGTAATTCTGTATCCATTTAAAAGCAGAAGAAACATCTATTTCAAAACAAGTGTCTCACACTCAAAACATTAATAATTAACCACCCACACACAAAGAGTTACTCAAGTAAACAGAAGAAATGACAGCTTTAAGTTACATACATTTGTGCTTAACATTTAAATAAAGCCTTTTTTTATTAATGATAATCCATGTCACATTTTTCCCCTTCAAAGTAAAAATTTAACTCCAGCCACAGTGAATAAGGCACACCCCTCCAGCCATACATTTTGATTTTATACTTACAATAGCTACAAGACAATGTTAGCTTACTTCAATATCCTTCGATGTTAATTCTCCTGAAAATGTTCTTATTGGCATGATCTGAAGCCCACGAGGCTCTCTTTGGTTGGCTTTAGATTAGGCCCTTACATAACTGTAACATCTGGGGCCCATTTCTACTATGCAAGTTCCAACAGACGCAATTTCTGTATGTATAAATTCATTTCTATTTAACAGATGTCTGTTATTTTAGAAAAGCAGAACTGATACACAATTCTGTTCAATTGAACAGCCAAGTTAATACATATTCTCCCAGAATGAAATGAAATAAATAAAGCAATTTGGTAAGACATACACCCTTAATGTATTCCAGTGTGGTTTTTTTAACTTCTGTGCTTTGCAAATTCATGTCCATCTTTGTACAGGGGATAAAAACCACAGCAGACCATTATTACCACAGCTGTAAATACCAGAAAGGAGAAGGTGCAGTGTCAGTACTCTTCTCCCACATTGTTTTTATACAAAGCACACAAAGTATTACATATACCAGTCTGTGAACTTAAGAGACAGCAAGGCAATTTAATACTGCAGTAGAAAAGATGCAAAGTATCACTGCATAGCGTACATGAAGCAATTGTCAATATGTGAGTGAATGCACATTTTTTTATGTGCAACTCCACAGTGAAGTTTGGAAGGGATTGCTATGAATTAGTGAAAACTCCTCATACAATAGCCCATTAGGATATATGTACTGAAGACGTAAGATAAACTGTTATAATCTACTTCCTTCTTAAGCATAATTTTCCCCCAGTGAAGAGCAATTACAATTTCTTGTTAAATCGCTTCTTTTCTATCAACAATAAAAATATCATGCAAGGATATCCATTGTTGTAATTGCATAAACATTCAAATATTAACAGGATTATAACTAAATTCTTGTGAAGAATTCAGCATTACTACTACAGAAAAAGTCTTGCTGAAATAAATAGATGAGCCACAATTACTACCTAATGATGTGCACTGGTTTATAGGGAATCAGAGAATGGTCTTCAGATTACAGCCTCTAAAATTATATCAAAAATAGTCAGTACAACGGTTCATTAAAAGCACTAAAAGTAAGTTACTTTAAAATTGTTTTCCCAACTTCTCTCAACCCAATATAAAGTGGATTATTCACACTTTCATCTACTGTATTTCATGTTCTCTGTTGGAGAACCACTTATCACAGAATACTGCAGCCTACAAATACCTGATATTATCTTTCAGTAGTGATAGAAGAGTTTATTAGGCTGGCAATATAGAATTTTCAGTGATCCCTTGCAGACAACAGTAGAGTCTCCACCCATCAATCTAAAAGGTACTGGATTTTGCAATTCACAGTTCAACACTACTTATGTGGATTAGGCAAGCAATTACTTGCCAATTAAAACATGTAAATAGGCTCAATAAAACAATGTAATTCCACAAAAAAAGAAAATACTAGCTTACTCTTTTTAAAAATAACAAACACTGTAATGATTATTTTTTTTCTTATAGGTAGGGAAAGAATAACAAACACATTAGTCATACCAAGATTAAACTACAGTATATTACACACAGAGCCTACTTTGAAAGAAGATTAGCAAGACTGAAAAATAAAGCAATTAAGCATTTGATCAACTTTAATTGAATACCCTTTGTCCTCACCTACATAATCACATTCTGATTTCCAGAGAGTCACATTTTTCAGCACACAGACAAATGTTAACTGAGCTGCTTCCATCTATACATTTTTCTACTCTTTGTCCTCCCAAGTGTTTGGGCCTCAGGCCTCCTGTATTGCTCTGAACCCTGTATTATTAATTCTTTGAAATTCAGAGAATTCAATTTTTCTGAGAAGCTCATCACTAGCATTTTCTACAGCTTCAAAAGTAATTGATCTTCAGAAAAATAAGCACAGAAGGATGAAGGGGGATTTTTTCCCCGTTTACAGATGAGAGCTAAGGCACCAGAATATGGGCAGAAGGGGCCACTAGTTCTGAAGGCCACGGGAGCATGTAAAATTTCATTGACTGTGGCACCAAAATTTGGTGTGGTAAGAGCACACTCTTGCTCCCAGTACCAGCACATTGTCATGCACTTACAAAATAACCAAAAAGAAGAAAGATTTTTAAAGTAGAAGTGACAATGAATGGTTACAACAGAGTTCAAATGAAGACAAACTCCCTAAGTTAGAAGTATCCTTCCTGTAGCATTTTGATCTCAAAGATCAGTCCCCAAGGAAGAACCAGAACCATCCCAGCAATCCCAGCATAAGTTCAGAAACCATACTTCTGTTGAGTAACATATGCAACAAATGACAGAACTGGAGCTAAAAGCCAGTGGACATGTTCTTGGAATACAAAATTATTAAGAGTCAGTGAACACACATTAAATAAAACTTATATATAGTGCCACTGCCTCAGTTCTTGTGCCACACTGTGTAAAATAAACTGTTTTGTGGAAGGGTATCAATTCACACTTGCTTTGTGTTTATCTTTCTCCTTATTTCTGCTACTGGCTACTATTGGAAACAGCTAGATAAAATTTTGGTCTAACCTGGTACTGCATGTTTTATGTCAAGTGCTAAATTAACAGATGAGGGGAAGAAAGAGAGAAGAAAAAGACATACATGCTAAGATTTTCAACTGCCAAAGTTAGTGTAAAGGCTGAATAAAGCATGACTCCCAGGAAGCATCATGGTGCTAAGCTGCCCCTAAGTCTTCATGGCTGACACATGCATCTGCAAAATCTTCCAGGGAAGGAGGTTGGTGTTTAACATACTTAAGATTACCTTTTCATTGATTTTATTATTTTCTTTTTTAATTCTGGTTCTGTTTTTGTGATCAAGGACTTAACCTTTCCTCCAGTAAAATAAAAAGCAACCTCTTGCGTTAAAGCACAAATTCTCCAGAAATATCACACCCAAATGTTGGGTACTAAGTGCAAGCAGTCCCTTTAGATGACTATGCTGGAGAAAAAAAAAATGAACATTCAAAGAACAGTTGTGCATTTCCATTAAACTGCATAGGTCGGTATGGATGTTAGTACTGTCAAGAACCAGGTTTTGGGAGGTTTTCCCTAGGGCATTACACGGTGCTTTTGACCATGAACTAGGCAGCAGAGAGACAGCCCATAACAGCAGGAACTGCCCAGAAGGTTACATTATATCTGCAAATAGAGATTTCAGCTGATAAGGTTATTTTATTTTCCTCCCTAATATAATTCAGTCTATTTCTTTTTCATGATTACCTCCTTGATATTCTCCAAGAGCCAAGGACATGATATATCCTACTTTTAAACGTGATTTTGCCCATAACAAGAAGTAACAGTAGACACTGTTCTTCCTATTTAACTTTGCTGTATAGCCAATGTCAGTATTTTGTTTGAAAAGTTTTGTTTTCAACACACAACATATTTGTGAAAGTACTGTTTTTCAAAAGCAGAAGAATATGGAGAACATTTTAACCAAAAGAGTCTTAATATTTTTTAACAGACAGTGTAATGCCACTGATTGCATTTCAGATCAGCTGTACAGTAAAAAAATTAAAATTACTGTGCAAGATGGCTACTGATCTATGAATTATCAAACACAACACAACTTACAAATGATTGCTAAAATGTAGTCTTCATCATGCAAATATTCATCTTTTGTACAAGGGCAAAACCAGAAACATTTTTTCAATAAACATGGAGGCACCTCCAAGGGTTGGAGGAAGTTCAGGACCTTCTATCCTGGCTGATTTGGCTCCTGGTCTACTTCTAACAGTTATCAGAGCAAACACTGCAGGGCCCCAGGAGATAAATCGGTGATACTAGCATGGGACAGTATGCCTGGCTCCTCTTACTGGAGTCTAATGCATCAAATATGCCTGGACCATTCTCCTGAACTGAAGCCAACTGGCTTGGAGTTGCCCAAGTCCATAGCATTAAATTAACTCTCTTCCCCTTCAAAAGAGGATAGGTGCATCCAAACCACCCTGCAGGAATACTACCTGGCTTGTGCTGTCTCACAAGTAGTGCCAAAGAGCTGCCTGGAAGACTGTGAGTTTCTCCTGGCCAAACACACACCAAGGACCACTTGAACAACTCTACAGAGTTGCGCTCCTGTGCCAGGAATCTTCTGATGCTCCTCAGCTCCCATGTACAGAAACAGCCTTAGCGCTAGACAGCTTCAGTAACTCCTACAGGCCAAGCCAGGCCCCATTTATGGCCACAAATGTACTTCGAAGTGTACTCAGGCTATCATTTCCCCATTGTTTCTAAGCCAACTCAAATATTTCCATTTTATATCCTCACCTGCTCATCTGGAGTTTTCTTTCAGTCCAGCGCTACACAGCACCAACCCAGACAGACACCATGCTGCTAAACCACTGTGCTGTCT